ATCTCAACAATCTTTGAAATATTCCTTGCTTTGCAGGTTCATCTTATACATTTCCTGTTCCAGACATGAAATCAGCCATTTCACAAAGAGCTCTGATTCCTTCTAGTGGAAAATTGTATTTAGAGGCAACAATCTGGGCCCTAGGGGTGCTCATTACTTCTAGGTAGCTTATTGTCTCCAGGTCTTTTCAGCACACAGAGAAGGGAAATAAGTACTTTTTTTTCTTTTAAAGAGGCAATATATCCTGGATTTGCACTGAGATTTCCAATTCAAATTTAAAACCACGTGGTTTTTACTTAACTAATTTTATATTTATATCTCTCTTCTCTTATTATAAAAATCTTGAATCCTAAAGTGACTTATTTGCTTTATCTTATTATACTTATATTTCAGAATAATAGTAGAAATATTATTAACAATACAATTACTGAAAAATAATTTGCTATTCCTATTCAGGGTTTTAAAAAAATTGTTAGGCTATATCTCACTAGAGTTGTAAAATCAAATTAGTGTGTTGTAAGGTCATTTGAGTAATTATTCCCTATGTAATTAAGTCACCAAAGTGATACACAAGCTTAATTGTTTTATTTACTTTCAATTTTTAAGCACTGCATTTTCCTATATGATTTTGTTTCATAATAATGTAACATCGTTCCATTGTTCCAGGGTAAAAATCTATAAAACAAGGGGCATTCGGAAAAGTCTTGCTTTTATCCCTGTCTTCTCCATTTTATTTCCACTCTAACTATTTTAATTTTTTTTATCTTGCATTTAAAAAATATAAGTGCTGCATGTGTATATAAATCTCCCCTTTCTCAGATAAAAGGTAACATACTATGCATAGTATTTTGTACCTTTCCCCCCACTTATTAATATGGTCTAGAGAGGTCACCCCACAGTAGAATGTAGAACTATTTCTCATTTCTTTTTAAAGCTGCATGGTAATCTATTGTGTATTTTAATAATAATAAGCTCAATCATTTACTTAACCAGCCCCCTACTGATAGGCTTTTGCGTTGATTCCAATTCTTTGCTAATATGAATAGTGCTTCAGTTAATTGCCTTACGCACACATCCCTTCATACTTTTGCCAATGTATTCGTGGTAGAGATTCTTCTAAGTGGGATAGGTTGTTCAAAGGGCAAATGCGTATGTAGCTAGCGTTGCTAGATGTTGCCAAATTCCTTTCCATAGGGGTGTGCCGTTTTGTGTATCCAATTACAATTTATTGAGTGCTTGCTTCTTCACAACCTCCCTCACAGAGTATCTAGTCAACCTTTTGGAATTTCGCTTGAAAAATGGCATCTCAGTGCAATGTTATTTTATATCTTTCTTAGTATTAAACCCCATTCAAGGTTTTTAATCCCCTAACACACCTGGTTTACTGTAGTATTCAATAATCATTCTTATGAAGTGGTATTTTAGGGAGATTAAAGCTAGCTGCAGAATACAGAATAGTTTGGAATATGCAGAGAATGGAACACATGAATTTCAGGACACAAGCTCAAATCATCAGAAATACAGCTTCGTTTTTCTGTGATTCTTATTGTACATTTTTCTACAATTCAATTGTTCTCTGGTTGGGGAGGGGCATAGCTTTAATCATCTCTGTCAGTTCAGGCTCTGCCCATCCCCCACCTTGAGATTGTTTCTGAATTCCAGGGTCATGGGTGTGGCCGCAATGGTGGGCGAAGGGGGGGGCGGGGAGAGTTGGGGGATGCTGGGAATGGGAGCCAGGTTCTTGGTCATCACTTGCCTCCCCGAGCACCTGCTGAGATACCCTCCTCCTGGGAGGTCCTCATTGAGTCAAGGACATTGCAGCTGTGGTTGGCCTCCTTGCCTTCATCTAAGAAGGCCTTTTCCCCTTGGCCCTCAGGAAATCTGGCTGCTCTCCCACACCTACTGGTGGCCAAGGAGACGCTGGGAGAACACTTTGAGGTCTTATCTCCCCAACACCCTATGCCGTCATTTCTATTCCTCGGCACCTGGCCTGTGCTGGGCTTCCTCCTGGCTAATGAGACATGTTTCCTCTGCTCTGAAATGACCCCAAATCTCTGTAGGGCCCGGCCTGGGTGTGGGAGAAAGGCAGTGTTTCTTCTCAGGAACCCACCACTTTCTCCACACGTTCCCCAGCGCCTCCTAGGGGCATCCTGGGGAAGAAGAGTGGCGAGAGAACCTTCTCTAACAGGTCACTGGCTTTTATGTGTCTGTTTTTTTAATCCTCACCCGAGGATATTTTTCCCATTGACTTTTTTTAGAGAGAGGGGCAGGGAGAGAGAGGAGGAAGAGGAAGGAGAGCTAGAGAGAAAGAGAGAGATTGGTTGCCTCCCACATGTGCCCCGACAGGGGCTGAGGACCAACCTGCAACTGAAGTACGTGCCCTGGGCTGAGAATTGAACCTGTGACCCTTGGGTCCACAGAGCCAAACCAGCCAGGGCTGATGGATGAGGGAGGGAAGGAGTAAAGATTCGGGAAGGAGGCTGGAATTTGGAGCTGCTCAAGGAGAAGAATGATAGTCCAAGTGACTGAGGGAGGCCAGCTGGAGGGTGGGCACGCTGATTCTGGGAGAAAGATAGTGAACTTGGCTTTCGGCTTGGGTGAGGTGTAGAAGTGACAGTCAAATCCATAAGGGGCTGAGAGTTCTTCTTCCTGGAGGAAGATGAGACAGAGAGAAAGTTGCTGAGGCCCAGGTCTTGGAACGCTTACACAGGTAGGAGAAAGGGAGAGAAGGAGGGCAGCTCAGAGAAGCCTGGCCTTTGTAGGGTCCAGCGCTGTGTAGACACTCCTTCCTCCCAGGATGCGGTCTCACCATAGACGCGAAGGACTCATTTCAGTGTCTGGTAAATATACCGGCCTGGTCTATACGTGCATCTGCCAGCAGGCAGCACCGGACCTGCGCCATTTAAAGTTATGCATTAGGGATATTTGTACCTTTCTCCCCTGCAAATACAATTGTTCCCAGAATAGGGCTGGTTTACTTTCCATTGAATGTGACAAGCATTAAATGCACAATGAGCACAGTGAGACGTAACTGTGTGGAACAAAAGTGGCAAACTGCTGGCTCCTGGGCTGCCTCTGACCCAGGGACTTCTAGTGTTCCGTCTGCAGAGGGTTTGTTTCGCTTTATTTTTAATGAGTCGTCAGAATTTAAAAATCAGGGTGTTTCACCTAAAACAGCGGTTCTCAACCTGTGGGTCGCGACCCCTTTGGGGGTCGAACGACCCTTTCACAGGGGTCGCCTATGAGCATCCTGCATATCAGATATTTACATTATGATTCATAACAGTAGCAAAATTACAGTTATGAAGTAGCAACGAAAATAATTTTATGGTTGGGTCACAACATGAGGAACTGCATTTAAAGGGCCAGAAGGTTGAGAACCACTGACCTAAAATGTGGATTTCCAGCCCCCAGTGGCCTGCATTTCCATGTGGCACAATTAGCGAGAGGGGTGGGCCCCTGCTCCCTCAGCCAGGCACACACCTCCTGTCTTACTGTTGATCCCTTGAGCTCCTTGTCTCTCAGTTATACTTCCGGTCCGACACCCCTGGCCCGGGCTTTAGTAATAAACAGATGCAGTCTTAACTCTGATAGGGCCACCTACTGATAACCTTGGGCAAGTTACTTTATCCTTGGAAGCTTCAGTCTCCCCATCTGTATCTTCTTTTTTATTTTTATTTTAAAATATATTTTATTGATTTTTTACAGAGAGGAAGGGAGAGGGATAGAGAGTTAGAAACATCGATGAGAGAGAAACATCGATCAGCTGCCTCCTGCACACTCCCTACTGGGGATGTGCCCGCAACCATGGTACATGCCTTTGACCGGAATCGAACGTGGGACCTTTCAGTCTGCAGGCCGATGCTCTATCCACTGAGCCAAACCAGCCAGGGCTGTATCTTCTTTTTTAAAAATACACATATATATTTTATTGATTTCAGAAAGGAAGGGCGAAGGAGAGATAGAAACAATGATGAGAGAAAAATCATTGATCGGCTGTCTCCTGTATGCCCCACACTGGGAACCAACCCCACATCCCAGGCATGTGTCCTGACTGGGAATTGAACCAGTTCATAGGTCGACACTCAACCACTGAGCCACACCGGCCGGGCCCCATCTGTATATCCTTGATAATAATGGTGCCTCGTTCCTACCTCCCAGAGTGAGGAGCATATAGATAATGCATATGTAGCAGAGGCAGAAGGTGCCCGAAAAAGGGAAGAGCCCGAGAAGGGAGGTTAGGAACAGGCAGAGCCCCTCAGGCTGTGGGATAGGGGAGCCTCCCGAGAGGAGTGAGCCGTGGGGCCTGGATTTCTTTCTTCTTCCCTGGGAGGCAGGCAGCCCAGCTGGGACTGCATGACTTTGAAACCCTGCCATGCAGGACGGAGCCCAAGCCCCTGGAAGGCTGGCCCCCACCCTCTGGGCTGTGATTCCAGGAACCGGGCCCTATCAGTTGGGCCCAGTTTCAGGAGTCGAGTTTCTTGCCATTTCTCCTCAGTCATGTGGCCGCTGGAGTGGACAAAGTGGGCGGGAATGTGATTAGCTGTCAGGCCGCCTTCCAGGCAGGAAGAGCGGACCATGTCTCCGAGGGAAAATGGTTAGAGTACGGATGAGAATGTGGGTGTCCTGGGTGAACTGGGCAGTCCCCCCTCAGTGAGCGGCCTGGGCAGGTTTTGCAGGTCAGAGTCCCCGATCAGACCCCTCCCCGAGTCTTAGAAACACTGACCCCTCCGGAGAAGGCTTGCTCTGGGTGGAGGAGGCAGCCTGAACTTGGAGGCCTTTTGCTCCCACCACCCTGGCCTGGCACCCACGAGTCTGCCTTCCCTGCCTTCTGGAGCCTGGGCTGGGAAGGCGGTGTGCGTTTTAGACAGAATGCTATGCACACTGACATAATGCTGATCGCTGCTCATCACCAGACGTCAAAATCGTGTGCATTTATATGCAACAGCTTTCAAGGAATCCCAAGAACGAACATACTGAGCCCCATGTTCATTTTCCAGCCAGGCTTCCGAGGCAGGAAGAAGCAGATCTGCCACCGACAGGCCCAGAGGCACAGCGAGGCCAAGCACGCTGCTCAGAGCCACACAGACAGTCACGATGGGAACCGGTCCCAACCCAGTTCTCCTGACCGCAGTCTGCACTCCAACCTCTCCCTTTCCCAGGCCCCCACCTTCATTTCTTTGTAAAGGTAAGTGAGGCACCCACTTGGGCACGAAATTTAAGGGGAAGGGGGAAGCAAAAAATTCAACACTGAAGGAAAATAATATTCGAATGTAATATATGTTTTAAGTAAACATGAATGCAAAAAGTCTATGAAGTACAAATCATCAAACTTTTAAATCAAGGCAAGATCCAACCCTGCATGTGCACGATTCACCTCGCTTGCCTGTCCTGGTCCCAGCCCTGCCTGAGCACAGGGAGCCCAGAGCCTGGGTGGGCCGCGGGGACTGGGCTTCGGTGCAGACAGAGAGGGAGCCCATTCCGCTGCTTACCCGCTGGGTGACTTTAGGGTAAGTGACTGCAACTCTTTGAGCTTCCATGTCCTCATTTGCAAAATGGGGTCAATTAGTAGGGTTCTCAAGAGACATAGAACCAATGGGAGGGGGATTATAAATATCCTCCATATACCTAGTATAAGGTATATATATATACCTAGTATAAGGTATATATATGTGCACCGGGCCTCTAATATATAAAATTTGTGCACTCGGGGGAGTCCCTCAGCCTGGCCTGTGCCCTCTTGCAGTCTGGGACCCCTCGGGGGATGACCACCTGCTGGCTTAGGCCCGCTCCCTGGGGGATTGGGCCTAAGATGGCAATCAGACATCCCTCTGGCAGCCCG